TTTCCACTGCTAAATAAGGCGGAGGTTAAGTGAGTTGCACTCAATTTTTTTTTGACAAGGTTGTTAAGCAAATCATTGCACTCGTTAAATGAGTCATGTGATTGTTAAGCAAATCCAATTTCTCCCTATGGCTTTGTTTCTCGGAAACTGGTGGGAAAGTTGCAAATGGTGATCCAATGACCCTGAATTGCTGCAACCATTGTAAAAAGAGACCAGTGGCCAAGCTCCTGAATTTTGATCTAATAGCTATGGGCATGGTGTGGCCATATGTGTGAGGACTGGATTTATTGTAACTGAAAAAGGTTAATAAATGAATCTTGTAAGTTGAGGATTACTTGTACACTATCAGAATCTTGCAAGTACAACTCTTCCTCTCTAACTTTTACAGTCCAAGAAATTGAGCTTTTGAGACCTTTGCCTTGCCCATAGTCATTCTGTGGACTCAATTATTGCTTGTCTGACTATTGTCTAGTCTGCGGCTCTTTCTCCTGTCTCCCAAGGTCATTCTTGTATACCATTACAGTTTGTCAGGTGGATAATTGTTGGGTGGATAATTGGGATAACATGAGTAATTTGCCTTCATTCGTGAATATGCGTAATGGTTGTTCCTAATTGGGATCTTGATTCACTGAGGATCTCAAGCCATCAAAAGAGGTAACAGCTCAAGTTCCAGTGGAGTAAAATAAAAAATAAAACTCATGGAGTCTAGCCACACACGCAAATATGAGTTTTTGCGGTAGCATTTGGGAGGCAAAGTGTCATTACATCATCTCCTTTATTGTGTCAGTGAACTGTTGTCCAACAATTTTGTTTAGAACCAGATTAGCTATTGTGATAGATTAGCATAGCACATTGTCAAAGAAATATTGTAACAGAATAACAGACTTAGAAGGGATCGTGGAGGTCTTCTATCCAACCCCCTGCCCAAGCAGGGCCCCCTATTTCATTTCAGACAAATAACTGTCAAATCTTTTCTTTAAAATCTCCAGTGATGGAGCACCTACAACTTCTGGAGGCAAGCCACTGGTTAACTGTTCTCCTTAGTTCTAGCTTGATTCAGACTTTGATTAGTTTCCATTCATTGCTTCTTCTCCTGGCTTTAGGTTTAGCTTTGGAGAATAGACTGAACCCCTCTTCCTCGTGGAAACCTTCAAATATTAAAACACTGAAAATCAAGCATTGACTTTTCATGGCCAGTGTTGAGGTTATTTTGAATTTGTAACTGGCCATAATCCCATGACTTTCAGTGATTTTCAAGAAAAAAATTAAAATCTATATGTATTTCCAGAGAGTGATGGTAGGGAAGAGCAGGAGGAGCTGAAGATATTGGCATTGATGGTTTATATAATTCATATAACTGTTAATATTACATTTATTTGCTGGCTGTTTTTGCCTTTTGTGGATATTTTGTTGTTATTTTTACTAATGTATATAAACTGATGAAAGTCTCTTTTGACTGTAACAGGTACAAATCAAATATTTACATTTTTTCATTATGTCAGAAGGAAAATCAGTAGTAGAAAAACTCATTTGGAACTATTATTAAATGTTCCAATAAAATATAGTCCCATGAAACTTGATGGTTGAAGTATTCAACTTTATCCAAGACAGTACTGGTTTCAGTGAGCGAATCAATTACATGTTGGACTGCTGTTCTGAAGCTGTTCTGATTCAACTGTAACAAATATTTAAATACAAACAACTTATCCTCAATAAATTCAGAGTCATGATGTAAATTAGTAATTGTTAGAAAAAAATTAAATCACTAAGCACAGCCCAGAGCAGATTTATTTTCAGATTCCTCTTCAATTGCCCACTTCCAGTTTTCATCCTTTGAAGATTATGCAAACTTATCTTGACCTAGGCTATTGCATTGAAGAAATTCTTGACTTTAGTCATCTGTCGATCATCCAAATCATCAGTAATGTTTTCAGTGTAGCAGGTCTACAAATTATGACCTTTTCTCCTATTTTTATGAGGTATCTGACACGTTTTTATTTGTTCCCCTTGGTAAAGTATTCTTCATTCTCTGTTTAAAACACATTTTGTATTATGCATCCTTCTCTGTTTTTGCTGCTGGTGGGTGTTTGTTTAGCCATGTGTTTCACATACAGTTCCTGCCAAATGCCTAGAATTGAAGGCTGATCAAGTGGCAAAACATTTGTTATGGAAATGATTATTAGGAAAAGTAGCGAATGACTGTGTATAGCCATCTGCGTGTATGTCTTTATGCCCAGATTCTTATACTGACAAACCATTCATGCACAGAACCTACAATTACAACCTATTATAAAGCAGTGATAGTATATTATACAGTATAAGTATTTCTAGCTTCATATTTTATTAGATAAGGTTCATGTGGATGGGATTGTGCCACAGTAAGTCTTTTCCAATATCATAGTGCCGAAGGGATTGGGATACAATTTTGATCAATCCTAGCCACATGTACCAGGAAGGAGCAAGCTTGCAGACAACTGGACACTTAACACATCAGGTGTAGCTTTATTTGTGTACTTATTTAAAAGATTTTTATAGCTACCCTTTTTATATACCACAACTCTGGCCAACTCATAAAACAATAATAAAAATGTAAAATATATATATAATTATAAAAAAATTAAAAACCACAACAAAAGTGGTTGTATGGTGGCTATATACATTTTAGATAGATAGATAGATAGATAGATAGATAGATAGATAGATAGATAGATAGATAGATAGATAGATAGATAGATAGACAGACAGATAGACAGATAGTCAGATTATAGATATAGCTAAAGATAAACAACAGATAGACAGAGATATAGATATGGATAGATACAGATACAAATATACTGTATTTCACTTTCCTAGGCTTCTGAATTCTGTTCCACAAGCCAAAAGGAACCGTGATTGTTTCTTTATTCCTTTTCTTTTTTCCTTTTTCTCAGGCAAAGGGAGCACATTTTTCTTTGGAAATCCATTCTAGAACCTTTTTCTAGAAATTCACTTTAATGGAGCTATGGTCAAAGAAAGCAGCTACAATCAAACAATGTAGAGCTTCCTGCCATAGCAAAAAAGCAAGGGATTTAAAGATGTAGCACTCAGACAGACACAAATGTAAATAGAGCATATGATGAGGGGACCACTTAGCAATGGCCTTACTGTGTTTTTGTCTTTCCCAAAACGTTGAGTTCAGGTAGCTATTGAGGTTCATTTTGTTTTTGTTTTTTAAACTACTGTTTCTATATGTTCACATACTTCATAGAAATATTAAAATAAATATTGCTTCTAATGTTCTCCGAGGTCATCAGTGCTACCATACAAAGAAATATTCCTTCCCTGCTGCTTACTATAAGCCGTTAACTAAAGCCCTTTTTCTTACTTGCTGTTGTAAAAGCTTTTCCTCAGCCCTGCAATTAAATTGGTCAGAATTTCATTTATAAATCACAACTGAGGAAGAACTGTAGATTTCAGCTGTTGAAATATTACCACTCTGATTTTAATTAAATAAAATCCATTTGTGTAGGGTGGAGAGCAACATTGTATTCTACTGATGTAATGTAGTTTTAGCTGTCTCTGATATTGTTGTGAATACAACGGACCACTTCAAACTATGTGTTTCTCCCAAAACTTGCCTATTGCATGTAGACAAGCAATAAACACCTGTCTTGTGTGACAATTATAGTGATATATTAATTTTGGCTTTTCTCAGATTGTTATTTTTGTAAGTCTGCCAGGTTAGGGTCATCAATATTTAGTTTTAATTTTTGCTGACATTAAGCTTGGGAATTATTCAGCTTATGTTTCTCCAAAGAGTAATATTTACATTTGTGATTTTGGTTGTTATATTCAACTTTTAATTGATTGTAAAACAAATAATGCATTTTAACATTATTTTTGAAGGATATTAAGCGGGAGACCATTAGTTCTATATCTGCCTCAGACATGAAAATCAGCTGGCTGACTTTTGGTCAGTCATTCTCTCCCAGCCCAACTCGCCTCACAGGGTGGTTTTTGTGGGGAAAATAGGAGGAGGAATGTGTTAGCTGCCTTGAATTATTTGTACAAATAATAAAAGCAGGATACAAATGAATAAATAAAAAAATTACGTTCTCAACTTACAACAGTCCATTTAGTGACCATTAGAAGTTGTAATGGCACTGAAAAAAAATGACATGACTGTTTTTCACACTTATGACCATTGCAGCATTCCCATGGTCACGTGATCAAAATTCTGAAGCTTGGCAACTGACTCACATTTATGATGGTTGCAGTGTCCTGGGGTCATGGGGTCCCCTTTTGTGACCTTCTGACAAGCCAATGGGGAAGCCAGATTCAGTTTACAACCGTGTAACTTAACAACTGCAGTGATTCACTTAACAAGTACGGCAAGAAAAACCGTAAAATGGGACAAAACTCATTTAACAAATTTCCCCCTTAGCAGCACAAATGTTGGGCTCAATTGTGGTTGTAAGTCGAGGACTACCTGTACAACACTTTTCACATGTTTTGTCTAGAGTGTGAAGTTGAACTGGCAACCTGCTTTGAAAATTTGGAGGGGAAAGTGTGAATTTTGAATAAGAAGATTGTTTTCTTCTGTCTCCGTTTTATCCTTGCTCCATTGGTACATTTGTCTCCCTACAGTCCTACCCAAGTCTCCCCAGGGAACTGACATAGTGCGATAGGGTCAGGTTTTATTTATTTTTCCTTCTGGAGATTCAACTACCTACTTGAGGAAGCTATATCTGGATTGCAGATGGGTAGGTATGAACTGACATGCAATGGACCAAATCAAAGGCTATCATAAACTCTAGCAGTATTTTTTCCCCCAGTGGCAGCAATTCAACCATCTGAATTTGAATAATATATGAGAAATGCATATATGAGAAACCAGTGGTTTCTTCTGGAGTAGTATTTCTTTTTAAACAGCAAGACCTTTCAATCTAGGGCCCAGTTGCCAAGATAACGAAGTTGATAAATTTCAAAAATATGCATACCTGTATATTTTTCTCTTTTAGCATTGTTTTAAAGGTCACTGTATCTGGTTAACTCCAGATATCTTGAAGCAAGATGGAAACTGGGGAGCATGGAGCAAATTCGGTTCCTGTTCCAGAACTTGTGGAACAGGAGTGAAATTCCGGACACGTCAATGTGACAATCCACAGTAAGTTGAACCTAATCAAATTATGCTCTTTGATAATGGATTTTGGTTTAGATGTCTTCAATGGATTTAAAATAATGTTAAGCTATCACAAAATATTTTTAAAATTGCTTAGTTATGAGTAAGGATTAAATTTAAGTTATAATTCAGACCATTGCCTTGCTCTTGTATTAGTTTCACTGCCAACCTACTGGAAAGATAAAATAAAGCACATCATGCAATATTGTGGCAGACTGTGTTAGGACATATAATACTATGTCAGTTTCTTATTGCCATTCCTTTTAAAAGAATTAATTTGATGAGTTTAAGGTGTGTAATTTAATAGATTTCAATCTGTTGTGCATCCTGCCTGGGAATTCTAATTAATGAAAGTAATAGTAATGCAGTACATTTTATAAATGAATATTGGCCATGATCAAAGATAACCCTGCTGTTGTTTCCCCCATCACTCCTTTATTTTCTAACAAGCATTCTGCACCCAAATTTCTAGACTGCAGAATACTTTAAGATGCAAGTTATCTATTCACTTCATATTAAAACGAAGAAACTTAACTGGATTTTGTCTGTGTGTAAGATTTCTCTTTCTAATATAAGAAACATATATGTGAAAGTTCGTTATGGTGTTTGACTGAAATAATGAAAAAATAAATACTTTTATTTTCACTAAAATGTCCTGTTAACTTTAAGATCAGCGTGCCTCCAGATTCACACTTATTTTGCAAGCCAATTCCACTGATTTTACTGGAAGAAACAAATTAATGCTCAATAGATTTCTTCGTACCATATCTGATCACAAATCTGACATCAATTGTTCGAAATGAACCAGGAAATCATTTTATAAGTATCATGTTTTTGTGTTTACTATTGAAGTCAGGAAAGATATAAGAGAAGTTTATTTTTGCCAGACAGCCAATTCAGCATTCAGGGACTTAAAAGAAATCAGTACCACTTCTGGTGATATTTTTTTTAAAAAATCATTATTATGGATTCTTCATATAAAGTAACAAAATCTTAAAAACAGCACAAAAGGCAACATGAGAAAATACAGCAGTAACTTAAAAAGTAATAAGATAAATATTTCATGCATAATCTCCTTTATAAATTACAGTAAGATTTAGGAAATTAAATTATCCAAGCAATAAATGAAAAATTTGGACTGGGTCCTTAACCTGTTAGAAAAATATCACAATCACTTCGAATGCTGCATTAAAGGTTTCATAGTTAATGTGTGTGTGTGTGTGTGTGTGTGTGTGTGTGTGTGTGTGTGTATTCAGGTATTTCTTTTATTCTATAAGATGATTATGAATGAAATCCAACTATTCTTAATTGAATCATACTTAATTTCTTTTAATTGCTGAAAACTGCCATGAGTTGGGCTGACTGCAATGGATAACAATAGCAATAGCACTTATATACCATTTCACAGTGCTTTACAGCCCTCTCTAAGTGGTTTACAGAATAAGCATACTGCCCCCAGCAATCTGGGTCCTCATTTCACTAACCTTGGAAGGATGGAAAGCTGAATTAAGCTGGAGCCCATCAGGATCAAACTCCTGACTATGGGCAGAGTCAGCCTGCACTACATACTTAAGAAACAATCTTTTTCCCCTTCTTGCTTGCTGGATTCCCCACATTCCTACTGAAAAGTGCCTTCTTTCCCCAAATTTCCAGTGTGTTTTTTAAGCTTATGGAGAGGCTGCAGAACGGAAAGGACAATCCAGGGGTGGGATTCAAATTTCTTAACAATCAGTTCTGTGGGTATGGCCTAATTGGTGGGTGTGGCTTGGTGGTCATGTGACTGGCTGGACATGGCTTGTATGTAAATATTATAAATATTTATATAAATATTGATTGTTTTATTTAAAAAAAGAGCAACTTTTACCCAAAATCAGGCAAAGCAGGCAGGCAGATTAAGTTGCTCAAAGAATCACAGATTCATTCAGAAATCTGTTTCTGCCACCTGCTACCTGAGTCTGCACTAAATAATAGAAGCTTCAGACTCAGCTCTGCTTTTAGATTAGCTAGAAAGCAAGAAATCCAACAATTTCCTGCTTTCTAGCTAATCTAACTCTCCTGACACAGCAGAACAGCTGATGGTCGAGGGGGGGGTGGAAAGGAAAAATAACAACTTATCAGGCAAGTTTGATGGCGCGCATGCCAGTGAGTGGGCGGGGCAGGGGGGCAGGGCCAGCCAGTGGCGCGATTTGCCAGTTCTCCAGCAGGTAGAATCCCACCCCTGGTGAGAGTGCATTTTGTGTGTACATGTAGACCATCTCCTAAAAACCTCAGCTGTGCCGCCCAGACAGCTGACAAGCGCTGCGCGAGGGTGTGCAGCATTTGAAAATCCTCTTCTTTCTTGCTTGTTCAACCTCAGCTGTGCCGCAGAAAGCAGCTGAAGTTGAAAAAGCAGGAAATAAAGTACAGCCAAGAGCCTAGGTGGGCAGGCAGGCCAAACAGAGCAGCAGACACTGAATCGGTTCAGTGTCTGCTGCTCTTCAGAGCTACCAGTTCTGTAGAACCGGCTGAACCAGTAGCATCCCACCCCTGGGACAATCTCTCCAAACTCTGTGTGCAGAATCTCTTTCTTAAGCATACAACCTACATTGTATCTCACCCACAACTATTTCAGTATTTAAATAGTGCATATTCAGTGTTTCATATTTATCCATATATCCCATTAGGTCATATTGCAGCTATCGAGACTAAGAGTATGCAACTGTGCTGTCCTACCTCATACATATTCAAAACAGAGCTTATAGATTTTGGAAATCAATGGAAATTAATCTTGGAAGTGAACAATAAATAAGTACAGGTAGTCTTCGATTTACAACAGTTCACTTAGTGACTCTTTGAAATTACAACTGCACTGAAAAAAAGTGACATGATGATTTTTCACACTTATGATCATTGCAGCATTCCCATGGTCATGTGATTTACATTCGGATGCTTGACAACTGATTCACATTTATGACTGTTGTGATTCCCCTCTTGTGACCTTTTGACAAAGTCAAGGGGGGAACCAGATTTACTTAACAACCATGCTACTAATTCAGTGATTCACTTAACAAATGGGGCAAGAAAAATCATAAAATGGGGCAAAACTCACTTAACAAATTTCTCCCTTAGCAACATAAATTGTGGACTCAGTTATGGTTGTAAGTTGAGGACCACCTGTAATAAGGAATTTGTGGGTTTCCAGGCATTGTTGGACTGCAGTTCTTTCACTTCGTGAAGTTTTCTGATTGGCGTTCATGGGAATTTGAATCCAATATCTGGGGAAATACCACTTTTACAGCTGCAAAAAAATGCAATGATCTATTATATTCTAAAATTGTTCATTAGTATTACTTCTTCTTTTCCCTAGCCCTGCTAATGGAGGCCGCACATGTTTTGGGCCAAGCTATGAGTTCCAGCTCTGCAATAACCAAGATTGTCCTGATGATCATGAAGACTTCAGAGAGGAGCAGTGCAGGCAGTGGGATCCCGTTTTTGAATATCAAAATACGAAGCATCACTGGCTCCCATATGAACATACTGATGGTTCGCACAATTTATCTTTTTCATTTCATTATTAGCCGAGCAGACCAGGATAACTCTGCCCAGTTTCAAAAACTGCAATGTCCTGTGTGCAGAAATGCTGCAATTCATTAGCATTAACCCTCAGATCAGGAGTGGGCAACTAGGCCCCCTTTACAACCTATGGACTTCAACTCCCAGAATTCAGTGAATCAACATTTAAAAAATTATCTAATGAGAAGATAAATTACCCAAATATTTTCCCTTATAGCTAAAGAAAGGTGCCACCTCTACTGTGAGTCCAAGGAGACTAATGATGTGGTGTATATGAAAAGATTGGTACATGATGGAACACGGTGCTCCTATAAGGATTTGCACAGTATCTGTATGCGAGGAGAATGCCTGGTAGGTTACATGTGTTTCAGGAATTTCTTTTTCCATTTTTCTATCTGTAAGAGTAATATTAAAATTATAATGAGCTGTGGTGGAGCTGTGGATAGAATGCAATATTGCAGGCTAATTCTGCAGCTCTATTCTAGTTTGATTCTCACCAGCTCAAGGTTGACTCAGCCTTCTTCCGAAGTCAGTAAAATGAGCACCCAGATTGTTGGAGGCAATATGCTGACTCTGTAAACCTCTTAGAGAGGTCTCTAAAGCACCATGAAGCAGTATATAAATCTAAGCGCTATTGCTATATATGAAACGGGCTAGTTTTTTCCCTTCCCCTGACTAATCTATAAAATATTCTATAGAAATTATAGAAATTATACTGAAAGATGATTTTAAAGCAAATCATATGTGTAGTATTTTACTGTTTTATTGGAAGTGGCAGAATATTTTTCAAATCATAATATTTACTAATAGTGAACAATCCTCAGGAGGGAATTGTAATATGTGAAAACAACTATTTAAAAGGAAAATATTTGTTGAAGTGCAACAGTTTTTAAAGGGGAAAAAATCATTACATGGAGAGAGAAATCTCCAAAGAGTCCCAAGAAAAATAGCTGTGTTCCACAACTGTAGAACGCTTCGAAGGTTAGAGATTCAAGATGGCAGGAAATGAAATGATGTGGTTAGAGACACATTGCTGTGTTCTGAATGTGTTACTTAGTTTAGAATGGCTGTTGAGCACACTTATAAATTTGTTTTTATTTAAGGAAATAATTATTGCTTTCTATAAGCACATGCACTAGATGAGCACATGGATCCAGTCAATTAAACTACCCTTAAATTCTTTTTTAAAAACTCTTCTTTTAGTTCCTAGTGCACGTTGGAATGTTCCATAAAGACAGTGTTTAGAAAGAATATCTGTGAGTTAATGATGGTACTTTGAGCCACCACATACATGATTTTTTTTATAGCACTTTAGCGATTTCCAAAGTTTTACCTATAATCAAGAAAAGTGACCTTGATATAGGTATAGATAGGTATTCATTGTTTGCCATGTGATACAGTCATTCTAGAAACGCTTGGGTACAATTTTCAACAATTCCTAACCCAAACCATATCTACCATTCAGTTTTTGAGTTATCTGCTTTAAATAAACCTTGTATTTGGCTGATTTCTGTGATATGTAACTTGAGGACAGACTTGCTAAAGTGTGATGTCTTTAAACTGAAAGAAAAAAAGAGAAACATATGGTTGTTTTTGGTGTTATTGTAGATATGAAACTCTAGGTCTATGATTTTCACTATCTAAAATAGATGTGGGGGTGGGAATCAAATATCTACTTAAACTCAAGTTCTGGAAATCATTCTTCTAGTAATAAGGTCCCATGGGACTATCAATATATTATTTCAGGAACATACTTATATTTTAGACCTGAATATCCTGTTTAAATATCCTGATCTAGTTATCATTAAAAAAAAAAGACTCTTACACACTCCTACACACAAAACGAATGGATTTTTTTCCCCTTGGTTTCAGAAAGTTGGCTGTGACAAAGTAATAGGCTCATCAAAGCAAGAAGATAAATGTGGTGTGTGCGGTGGAGACAACACCCATTGCAAAGTGGTGAAAGGAACATTCTCCAGGGCACCAAAGAAACAAGGTTATTCTTATTTAAATATAATATACTTGCCCCAGAAAAGTATGTGTTTAATTTTAAAAGGAGTTTAAGAATTTATTTAATAGCATATTTCCTTTGCTGTATCAAATGCTGCTCTTGAACAGGTTCAGATGGAAACATGTTTTCTTAAATAAAATCAATATAAAAAGAACATCCACATTTATAAATCTGAGATATGTTTTTATATGTCTTGGTCTACTCAAACCATAAAACAGAATCCTAGGTAAGTCAACTCTTTTGAATCCAAAGAGTCTTTTGAATCCAAAGAAGTGAGTTTCAGACAATAGCCTTAATTTAATAGAGATATTGTCATCTGTCTCCCCATATGCACTTTTCAACATCTCTGAGGAGCATCTATCAATTGTCTACCTATCATCTTAAAGTGAAGCAAGGAAAAATCCACACTCCAAACTAAGGGGAAATAGATATTTTGAGACCTACTTATATCTCTGTCCCCTTTTCGGGCTTCTGTCCTTTTATTGTGACCACTGTTGCAACTCTTTAAATGAATTGCAATGCAGTGCAAATCAGCACTGCATTCAGACCACCATTGGCCCCTGCTGAAATACATGTCTGTCTTGATACCTTGTCCTTAAAACCAGAGTGTTAGATAGGTTCAGACTTTATGTTCTCTTGGTTGTTCATTCTAAACTAGATTATTGTCTGACTTGCACAATCTGTCCACTTTGCATTATGTTTATTTTTCGAGGGGGTGTGTGTGTGAAAAATCTTGTCAAAAAACTGAGTCCTTCCATTCGAAAAACAGCCAAAAGACAGAATTGAACAAATAAGCTGAGATCAATGCATAAAAGGTTCTTCTTTCTAAAAGGAAAAAATACCAGTTTTCTTTCCCGATCTAACCCTGCCTGCTTAGGAATAAAGATAATCATGAGCCTTTAAAAATAGATAAAATGGCCAAAACTGTACAGTGATCCCTGATTCAAAAAGGAAAAGTCAATTGGGAGCAAGCAGGGATGTGCACACTGCAGCTTTTGGTTCCTTGTTGTCTTTAAAAAGTTGCCAACAGATGGGATGTGGACATCAGCATGCACTCTGAATCCCCTTTTGAGTCTGGTTCAAATGCTCCATCTTGTATTTATAATCATTACTTTGTTTCCTGCTTTTATTCTTCCAGGAATGCAAGATGATTTCTATGGAGCTACCCCATTTTATTTTTTAACAAAAGCCTTGTGGCTAGGTTGGAATGAATTGTATGTTATGAATTTGCACCCTATCTCTCTCTCTCTCTCTCTCTCTTTGTTCTCTTGTTCAGTTTCTCTGCATCATCAGTATGCCATGTTTTACAAAGAGGACAAGGGGAAAACCAGATATCAGAGGAAGTAAAGTCAGAGTCTCTGTTTAATTAATTGACATTTCTCAGTAATAAATATGAAACACCACTTCCATATTCTTTTTATAGCTCCTTTATACTCTGTGCTGTTAGGCTGACATGACAACATTGAAGGGGGTTAAAGGAGGAGTTCCTGGATGATCAGGGTTCAGAGAGCTAAACCTTTTGGCTGAAGGAGCTGCAAATGTTTAGCTACAAATCTAGGCTGTTGATTCAATGAGCCATGATGACACAGTAGTTAGAATGCAGGCTAACTCTGCCCATTACCAGGAGTTCGATCTTGACCAGTTCAAGATTGATTCAGCCTTCCATTCTTCCGAGGTGGGTAAAATAAGGACTCAAATTGTTGGGGGCAATATGCTGATTCTGTAAACCACTTATAGAGGGCTGTAAAGCTCTAGGAAGCAGAATATATGTTGAAGTGCTATTGCTATTGCTGCAAATATCTAAAATAAGCAGTCATCTGCAAATGTGCTAGAATGAAGATGTCAAGAATGATATAAGTATAGGTGTCAAACTCAAGTCTGCAGGCCACATCCGGCCCATGGGGTACCTGGAAATAGCAAAGGACTGGACCATGGTGCCTCTGACAGCCAAAACAGGGCATGGAGGGGCTGCATGTGGCCATCCAGACTGAAAACAGGGAACAGGGGGCCTCATGACTCCCCCCAACCCCATTTTGGCCAGCAGGGTGCTGCAGGAGGCCGTTCAGATCAAAAACAGGGCACAGGAGGTCCTCACGCCCATCCCCCATGGCCCGTTTTGCCAGCAGGGTGCTGCAGAAGGCATCCATTCCCGTCTCCCCCCATCTCCCCCCCCCCGGCCAGCCTGCGGAGAACTACAATGCTGATCCAGCTGTTGAAGAAATTCAGTTTGATACCCCTGATATAGTAGATTCCAGCACTGAATAACAGAAAGGACCAGGTTTATCTGAAAAATCCCTTTCAAATATATTGTATTTTATTCTTGTTGTTTTAATTTTAAGAGTATCTTGTGATTTTAAAGTGTTATAAGCTCATATGAATACACCTTTTGAGAGGAAGCATCTACATTCTTTAGAAAAGAAACAAAAGGTGCCTTAGAACTCACAAGTTAAAACGGGCAAATTTCTTCATGGCTATAGGTTGCATGGAATATTTTCAGGGAAGACTGAGAAAATCTTCTCAGTGGACAACGTGATGGTGCAAAGAACAACAACAACTATATGAAACTAGTTTTCAAGGAACTATTGCTACATTTATGCATTTTCTGATAATAAATTATCCTGCAAACATTATGGTTTAAGTCAGTTCTGGAGCTTCAAAATATTTTTTAAAAGCAGTTAGATGGCATCTACTATATAAAATAAAGTAATAGCTAGAGCAAATATTCATGCTTTTTTCTTTTCCTTATAAAAGTTATTGTTAATAGTTGTGATGCTTTCTTGCAGGTTACCTCAAGATGTTTGACATTCCAGCTGGTGCCAGGCATTTACTTATACAAGAATCTGATGCTACTGTTCATAATCTTGGTACGTATCATATTGCATCATAGTCAGCTTTTGCTGATGGATGTGCTTTTCCTGACAAGCTGAAATTCTATTCTGGTTATAAAATATATTTTAATTGAGTTGGAGAACATTTTTGTAGGAGTAAAATAGCACTAATGCAATGATACAGAAGCTGGGTAGAGCAATTTTAATCACTTTTAAGGCTGAAAACCAAACTAGTAGCAAATATGGGTAACTCCATGTTTGCATGTTATGTTCATTGCTGGAATTCTCTGAGTTTGTTTGGTTTTGCAGTGAAATTATTTCTATATATCTGCAGTTCCAAACTCTTGCTTGGAGAACTCCAGCATGCAATATTTTTGTTGAGGTAATTTCCCATTAGGAGAATGAGTGCACGCAGGGAAACGTAGTGAGAGTGATGTTGAATAACACATGACCAGCACACAGATGCACTGAATAGTAAAATGTAGGTTTTACTTCCAGTAAACAGTTAAGCAAAGTCCAACAAGCAGTCCAAGTCATACACAGTTAAAGCAGTCAGTATTCAGTCCAGGGATAATCCAAATAACAAAGTCCAGTATCATAAACAGTTCAGTAACAGACTCACAGCAATCCAAGAAGAACGACGATCAGCAACAGTCAATAGGAAAAATGCAGGAACCAAGAACATTGACCATCAGAACATTCCTAACATTCTCCCCTTTGGGTAGGACAATATATAACACCTTACAGTTTAAGTCCATATCCTTCACAGCAAGCCTTATGCTTTACAGAGCCTTGGGCTTTTGTAAAATGATCTTCAATGTTATTCTCTGACATGCAGTACTCCAGTTTAATCATTTTACTTTGCACACATGTCTCACATTTAAATATCTTAAATCTGTGAGTTTTGATCTTATCTTTACAGCGAGATTGGAAGCCATCTGTATAGCTGATTGGTTGTCTTCATAAACAAGAGTAGAATCTGTTACATCAATTCCCATGTCAATCAATAGATGCTTATAACAAACTAAATCTGTACATAATAAAGACAAACATGAGAATTCAGCCTCCATTGTTGATAGACTTAGATGTTTCTGTCGAATAGACCTCCATCCAATCAACACCTTTCCTAATAATACGACAGTACCTGATGTTGATTTATGTGTATTTACATCTGTAGCGAAACTTGCATCAGCATATGCAGTTAAACTTAGTTCATCCTTAGGCTCCAAATATAATGCATAATGCATTGTTTGTTTCAGATATCTTAACACACGCTTAGCAGCTTGCCAGTGCCTTTCAGTTGGCTCAGCATTAAATCTCGCTAATTGGTTAACACTGTATGCTATATCTGGCCTTGACCAATTACTGAGATAAGATAAGCTACCAATCAAGGACTGATAAATATCTTTATCAAAAACAGGACTTTGTACATCGCTGTGACTAAACTCCTGGCTCATTGGTGTTTTAGCCTGTTTACAAAGTTCCATTTTAAAATTCTTCAGTAACTGGTTAATTTTATCTGCCTGTGAGATTTTGTATCCTCCCCTAGTTTTATCTATCTTTAAACCAAGATATTGTTTAATTTCTTCTAACTGTTTTATCTTAAATTTCTTTTCTAATAGTGAAATAATCTCAGTGGCTTCTTGTTCAGTTTTGGTGATTAATGCTATGTCATCAATGAACAATAGCAACAATGAAACTACACCATCACTTTCCTTTTTAAATAAACATGGATCAGCCATGCCAGCTATAAAACCTATCTTAGTTAATTCCTTAACTATACACTGGTTCCACTCATATGCTGATTGCTTCAAGCCATAAAGACTCTTTTTCAATCTCCAGCAATCAGTTGTATTATAATTTTTTCTACCTAAAGCTTTCTTTAAATATATAGTGTGTTTTAAATATATAGTGTGGTGCATGCAGATATGCCATCTCTACATCTAAATGTTTTATAATGTATTTCTCCTTAGTTGCCCACACTAATGCTGCCCTTAATGTAGTAGCCTTCAACTAGGCACAAACACCTCATCATAGTCGTTTGCTGTCTGATTGAACCCTTGTGCTACTAACCTGGCTTTATGAGTAAAAGTCCCATCCACACCTGTCTTAAGTTTATAAATCCACTTACACTCTATGGCATGTTTCCCTGGTGGTAACCTGACATTTTCATATACCTCCAGTTTTTGTAAAGATTTCAGTTCCTTATCCATTGCTTCCTGCCAAGCAGCCTGATCCTTAGCAGGATACAGTTTCAGTTCATTATAGTTACCAGGAACTGTATTCACTTGGCATATAACACTGTCCTGATATCTATCAGGTGGTCGTGTTACTCGGATTGAACATCTCTGTAATACAGGGCTTACTGGTGGACTTTCCTGTACCACCTGTTCCTGTTCTCCTACCTCTTTCTGTGCCTGTTCTTCTACTTCCTCCTGTGCCTGTTCTTTCTCTTTAATGGCTATTGATGGTTTAACTATTTCATCTTTAGGGACTACTTGGGTGTTAATAATAACATCATTGCTGAATTCCTGTTCCAGTTTATGCCACCCAATGTGCTCAAGAAATTTAGCACTAGCGCTACAGTAAACATGAGCTGTGCCTGTCTTAATTTTATAAATCCACTTACACCCTATGGCATGCTCACCTGGTGGTAACCTGACATTTTCATATACCTCCAACCTTTGTAAACATTCAGTTCCTTATCCATTGCTTCCTGCCAAAGCATGATCCTTAGCAGGATATAGTTTCAGTTCATTATAGTTAGTAGGAACTATATTTACTTGGCATACTATACTAGTCTGATATCTATCTGGTGGTCGTGTTACATGGGTTGAACGTCTAGGTAACTCAGGGCTTACTGATGGACTCTCCTGTTCTACCTGCTCCTGTTCTTCTACCTCCTCCTGTGCCTGTTCTTCCTCTTTAATGGCTATTGATGGTTTAACGATCTCATCGCTAGGAACTACTTGGGTGTCAATAACAACATCATTGTTGGATTCCTGTTCTAGTTTATGCCACCCAACATGCTCAAGAAATTTAGCACTAGTGCTACAGTAAATATTAGCTGTGCCTTGATCCCAAAATCTAAACGATCTATGGTTGGCCTCGTAACCTATGAAAAATAATTTCCTACCTCTATGTTGCCCTTTCAGTCTTACTTGTGAGGGAATATGCACCCATGCCAGAGCTCCAAATGTGTGTAAATAACTTAAATTTGGTTTTCTGCCATGCCAATGAGTGAATGGCAATTCACCAGTTGTTGTGTTAACCACATTGTTCAACACATGGTTACTACACATTATGGCCTCACCCCACAGAGTTTCAGGTAAACCTGAATCAGATAACATAGTGCGAGCTGTGGCTTGTAACGTTTGCCCTCTTCATTCTATAAACGAGTTATGTTGTGGTCTGTAAGGTGCAGAACATTTATGCTTGACACCAGCCAATTTTAACATAGTTTGGAATCTATTGTTAATAAACTCAGTCCCATTATCAGTAACTAAAGTAATTACCCTATGTTTCATTTTTCTTTCTGCAAACCTTAGCCAATTAAAGAAATGTTGGAATGTTTCTGTTTTGTTTTTCATGAGATAGCAGAAACCGTACCATGAGTAATGATCCATTATACTCAAAACATAGCAGGCACCTCCCAAACTAGGTTTCTTAGGACCAATTATGTCAGCAAACACAACCTCTAAAAGTTCTTTGGTCTTAAAACCATTCAGTCTGTTTGCTGGAGTAACCTTGCTTTTCTCCTGGTTACAGGCATTACAGTTTAAGTACTTACTACAGGGTTTTAATTTTACTCCTTCCAACAATTCAACAGTTTGTTTCAGCATTTTGAAATTAACGTGCCCCAGATGTCTATGCAGTAAATGTATACATTCATCATGTGGCTTAACATTGTTATAAACCAAGTTAGCCATCTTCAACTGGTCATCATGTATCACATATAAATCATTCTCTGAAGTAGCAGTAACACTTTTACCCTCTTTCTCTATTATATAGTTATCTCCCCTAAAGGTTACTACATAACCAATATTAACTAAAGCCCTTACTGATAACAAATTAAATTTCAGTTTAGGTACATATAACATAGTTAAATGCTCATTTACACATGAACAATATGCAGTACCTTCACCAGATGCTTTCATCTTCCATCCATTTGCCAATGATACATGTTGCTTACTCGTGGACATCGTTACAAACCTCTCTCTATTTTTAGTAATGCACTGCGATGCTCCACTATTAACTACCCACAAATCATGGTTTACAGTTGAACTGCCAGACATAGTTAAACTAACATTCTTCTTAGCCTTCTGGTGCTTACCAGTATTCTGATGTTTGCTCTTCTTTCTACATTCTTCTTATCCTTCTTATCTAGCTATATGTCCCCTAGCCCCACAAGAAAAACATTTCCTAACAGTATAGGCAGTTGAAGACAAATCCTCTTCTTGTGGTTGTTCCTTTCTCAGTTGGTCCCTATCCAGCCGTCTTCTTGCCTCTTCTAACAACCTTCCGGTTATGTCAGTCAATGTCAGTTCATCTCTGGTCAGGACTTCCAGTGAAGATATGTAATCATCATAACTTTCATCCAATGAGGAAAGAATGATGTAAACCTGATGCAGCTCTGAAAAAATCAGTTCCTTCTCATGTAGCTCTTAAAAAGTTCTTTTCATAAAGTTCAAATGAGCTAACATATCTCCACCTTTCAGAAAACGTGCTCTAAACCAGTGATCCCCAACCTTTCTTATGCCGCGGCCCGGTATCCCCAACCTTTTTTATGGCGCGGCCCGGTACCGGCATTAGCTGGGCGCCGCCATCTTTTTTTGATGAAAAAGTGCTTCTGGTGACCTCACCGGAAGCACTTTTTCATCAAAAAAAGATGGCGGCGCCCAGCAAACCAGCGGCCCGGTAGGACTTGTTCCGCGGACCGGTACCGGTCCGCGGACCGGTGGTTGGGGACCCCTGCTCTAAACAGTTTATGTGTAAGATGTATGTATGCACCTACACTGTCACGAACATAAATCCTCTTCAAATTTTCCCAACACCTAGCAGCAGACTCTTCTCCACAAATATGAACTAGCTGCTGGTCACTCAGTGTTAGTCAAATTATACAAAGAGCTTGTTCGTTGTTCTGTTTAAAATCAGCAAGCTTCTTGACATCGTCCTCATCATCTGGATCCCAAGCATTTTACATCCAGTGGATCCTGAACTGCATTCCATCACCCTTCTCTTCACAGAAGTAGACTGCACTTCATAGACCAGGAAACATAGTTTGTTCCATCCAACCAAGTTATCAGTGATAGACTTGTTGACTGGTCTTGTGCCATCTTTACCAGCACAGAAACCCACAATTAAACAGTAAACAGCTGTATGTATACAGTGTTGTGTATTCACACTAACTCTCAGTTATCTGAGCCTGGTATAGCCTGGGCCCATAACTAGTGTTGAGGTAATTCCCCATTAGGAGAATGAGTGCATGCAGGGAAACGTAGTGAGAGTGATGTTGAATAACACATGACCAGCACACAGATACACTGAATAGTAAAATGTAGGTTTTACTTCCAGTAAATGGTTAAGCAAAGTCCAACAAGCAGTCCAAGTCATACACGGTTAAAGCAGTCAGTATTCAGTCCAGGGATAATCCAAATAACAAAGTTCAGTATCATAAACAGTTCAGTAACAGACTCACAGCAATCCAAGAAGAACGACGATCAGCAACAGTCAATAGGAAAAATGCAGGAACCAAGAACATCGACCATCAGAACATCTAGCAACTAGCAACTAGGAAACCAGGTTTCTCGCTCCATCTTATGGCCGTTTGAGGAACCACACCCACTTACAATTTTAGCATTCCCTTAAAGAGACAGTATTAAATGTTTATCCTGGTTTATATATTTCCAACCCAACTGTTAGGTACTATCAATTCCTAACAATTTTACACATTATACTCTCTTTATCAAAGCAATCTAGAAATGTATTTGTTTCAGCCAGATCCTTTTTTGTTGTAGAAGTAGTGGTGAAATATTGTTGTAGAGAGGAATTTATAGAAACAAAATCTCTAACACAAATATATAGAATTTTAAAAATTCACAGATTCTACTTGGATCATAATTTGAACTTTACTGTACTAAGTAACTTGGTACCTGCTCTTTGAAATGGTATGTCTAACTTTCCTAAAACTTGGTTTTGAAATAATAAATGCTCAGGATCACTTGGAATTGGACAGCATACACATTTAATAAATAAATAAATCATGTATAATTGTACTCAGTATAATTGTGCAAACAATGTTTGCTGCAGAGCCCACATTTCCTGTGCATCAGATTTACCAGATGTGTTTTTGCTTATATCTCCAGCATCTATTCTCTTGGTCCTTCTTTCTAGTTCTAAGCCAGCTGCAGCAAGAACGTTTAATCAAGCAAAGTTTCAATAATAATTGAAGCTCTCAATCTTTACAGCTCAGTGGATCGATAAGAGGCATTGTCTTGTAGGCTGTAATTAATTAGAAGCAGATTCATGTCCACTGACCTAGTAACTTTTCTATGAATCATCCAAGCTTTGTTTTAAGAGAGATGTTTCATGAATTGCTGTTTTCTGCAGCTGTCTGGGATTAATAATGTTCATTGCACAGACATATTCCTTACGTTATGCAAACCGTTTCTGAAAAACCATAAGCAAGATATAAACCTTCTGTTTTTGTAAATCTGATGAACGTATGGATGCTGACAACACAAATGAATCTTGAAGCAGTTGGGAAGGAGGGCAGGAAGTGTACGAGGCTGTCATGTCTGACTATTATTTTGAAAGAGAAAATATTCTTTACATGTTTTAATGTAGTAGTGGGCCAGCAAATTTAGTAGTGACAAGCAGAGAGATATAAAGACTGCTGCTGAGCTGTATATGAAAAGAGGGAAGATTATGTAAAATTCTCATGTTCAAAGAGGCCTGGTACAATCAAATCTCCTTTCATGGATAATTTTTTTTTCATATTTAATATGCATGCTCTTTGGTCATTGACCCTATTTGAGGATTTTTGTCTTTGAAATTAAGCTATTTTCCTTTTTTAAAAAAATCAGCCGATAGTGAAACCTACAAACTTGGGCCCATACAACTGCAATCAATATATAGCTAATTATCCAAGAATAGTAGCCAATTTGAACCTCATTAAACTACAGTTTGGAGGAGGTGGGAGAAATATAAACATCAGTCTCTGCCTTCACCCCTCTCCTCTTCACAGATTTTGCTTACTCTCATTTTGGCACTTCTCTATAAAATTCCTTCCCTAATAGAACGTTAGTGATAAAAATAAAAAAGACTGTGGCAAGCTATAGGTTTTCCATATAGATGGAAGACTATGTTGCCTGGATCCATATATACTTTTGTAAATGAGGAAGAACCATTGCATAATAAAGTTTTATTTGGAGGACATCCTTAGTATCCTAACAATTCTAGCAGGGAATATAGTTGGAAGTTTGAGAAGCCAATGGAAAATCAGCCATGTCCCTGTTAGGTTCCAAGAAATACAACAAGCCTTAGGTTCCAATAGTACAACAAACCTTGTATTATTGTCTAAGATGAATTATAATATACCGTAATTCAAAATCTACCACATTTAGAATCACATAGTACCCTGCCTTGAGACATAGAATAGATAGAATTCTTTATTGTCCAAGTGTGATTGGGCACACAAGGAATTTGTCTTGGTACAAATACTCTCAGTGTACATATAAGAAAAGATAATTCGTCAAGAGTCAAGAATCATAAGGTACAACACTTAATAATAGTCATAGGGTACAATAAGCAATCAAATCATACTAGGAAACAATCCATATAAATTGTAAGGATACAAGCGACAAAGTTACAGTCACAAGTGGGAGGGGATGAGTGATAAGAAGTGATGAGAAGATTAATAATAATAGTAGTGCAGACTTTATAAATAGTTGGACAGTGTTGTGGGAATTATTTGTTTAACAGAGTGATGGCGTTTTGGAAAAATCTGTCCTTGTGTCTAGTTGTTCTGTTGTGCAGTGCTCTGTAGTGTTGTTTTCAGGGTAGGAATTGAAACATTTTAGTTAGGCAGCCTAATTTTTTAAAAAATCCTCATTTTTTTCCCCAAAACTCTCAGTAGGACATTGGGAAATACAGCTGCTCTTTTCTCAAGACAGAGAAGAAAGAATTCAAAACATTTCTTATATGGGAAGAAGATTATTTTTTCCCCTTCTGGTTGGGACTATAGAAACTTGGAACCAGCCTTGGAACCGGAGACTTCTCAGTTTTGTCATAGATAAGAAACAAAGGATTCCCAATTTTTTATTTTGGTGGGGGATGGGGAGTTAAGAATAAGTAGATTGGATATTTTGGTTGCTTTTTAGCAAATTTCATTTTGTTAGTACTAAAATGTTTATATAAACTTTTCTGGTGATACTTTTTGATGAATTTTCCAAGTAAAGTAAATAAAGCAAGCAGTCATTTCTGTGACTTCTAGAAAAAAAAAATTAAAAATGAGAAGGAAAGGGAACCTCCTGACATTTCTTCACTTCATATTTCTTATTTTGTTTTTAGCGATCAAGAATCGAGAAACAGGGAAATTTATTCTAAATGAAAACAATTACGTGCCAGACTCCAAAACTTTCATAAACATGGGTGCAGAATGGGAGTATCGGAATGATGAGGACAGGGAAATGGTTCAAACGATGGGTCCTTTACGTCACAGCATCAGCATTTTGGTAAGTTCCCTGAAGACGAGGGTGCCATGTCACAGTGAGTCATGCACCCTTCATTTGATATATAGTATCAGTTAAGGAATCTGTTTTAAGGATGAAAGCCAAATCTAGATTGTGCCTCCCAACTATATACGTTGCCTCTTTTGTTCATGAGAACTCTGGGGATATGGATTTCCCTTTTTTCAGAAAACAAGATTGGGGAACTTGTGGGGGGAATGTGGTTGGCAGAGTGGCAGAGGCAAAATGAAGAGACCGCCAGGACCATGGACCTGGAACAAGACCGGAGAATCATGGAAGCCTAAATCTTGGTTGCAATCTGGTTTTGAAGAGATTTTAAAAGTGATGTTAAAATGATCTTCCTGAAAAGATATACATTATTTGTCTAACTAGGTAATTCCTCATGGTAACGGGAAGATTTCATTGACATACAAATTTATGATCCATGAAGATTCTTTAAATGTTGATGATAACAATGTCTTGAAAGATCTTGTACCATATGAATGGGCTCTGAAAAAATGGACCCAGTGCTCAAAACCTTGTGGAGGAGGTAAAGATGCTGATGACTGCACTGACTTTTCTGTCTGTTATGAAAAACTGTGTTTCTAATTATGCTTTTAAGTAAGCTTGATGGTTTAATGTAGCTTATAGCTGAATTTGAGACTGGAATCCATGATGTTAAAATGTCTTAACAGGCTTACCTGTAATTTTTTATCTGTGGTACTGTAATTCATTCATTCAGTGCAGCACATTTGATTTTACCAAACAATCATCCATCAAGTCTTTGTGAGATTATCCAAAGTGTAATGATTTATTATGAATCATTAAATGTTGACATCTTCAGTTACATTTTAATAGGGAAAAATTTAGTTCATGGGCAGAAAAATACACTCCATGGGAATTATTTATTGCTGTCTATTATTTGTAAGATGCTGCACATCTAAAAAATGTACAATAGTTTAAAAAGTACACAGGTGAAATAAACAAGTGGCAGGAGACAAAAAGCTGCAGTGTAAATTTTCAGTGGAGAATGTACCTTGCATTTCATATCTAGAGTAGACTGAACTAACACAATACTTAACCAGTAATGTGTCAGTTGTTGGTTTTTACAGAATATGCAAAATTGTTCCACATTATCTCATTTCCCAGCTCCCAGAATTCCACCTTCTCTGAAATTTGGAATCAATCTCAAACACCCACCACACTTGCTGCCCCTAACTACATACCTGTAGCAGAACTGCTGAACTGTAGTGGGGAAACCTGAAGGTCTTAAACCTCATCTCCCAGAAGTATTTTGAGACTTCATAACTGATCATCACCTCCTATTCTTTTTTATAGGCCTGTCACTTTTTTATAGGCCTATCATTCAAGAGGTACTTAGCTTGTGTGTTCCCATTAACTGTGGTGTGTCACAGAGAGAGATTTTTCATATCCTGTGCTGCCTGACTGTAACTGAATAGTGAAAAATACAAAAAGTTGACATAATTTCTACATTGCTGCCTCCTTGATCATTAGGAGGATATGACCACACATTTCAGTCCTTTGAGCTCCTGTTGGGAGACTGAACAAAGATTAATGAAATCAAAGTTTATGGAGAAAGAGAGAGGGGGGGAAGGGAGAGAGGGAGGCAGGGTGGGGGAGAGAGAGAGAGAGAGAGGCTTTCTAAATGAAAACACAACGATGTTTACAGGCAGATTTTATAAGTTTATAAAATATGTAATGCTCCTGACAGACCACAAGATGACACTGATTTGCTATAAATGAGTGTTCTGCCAGGATATTTAAATTTGGATTAATTATTACAGATTAAAAATAGTTAAAAATGATGCGCAGCATGAGGATATGTATAATAGGCAGAAGTGCACAGTTACTTGAATTAAGAAAAATCTAAAAAAGATAATTATTCTAACACAGAAAAATATATTAATCCTAATGCAAATTCTGGAGTAAACTTGTTACCTATTTCTTCACAACTAGATTTCTCTTGAAACAGTTATTTCCTTTGTCCATTTTGCCTGAACATTACCTCAGGTACATTCTCACTTTATCAGAGGTTTCCCAAACTCAGCTCATACATCCTTCCTATGTTTCTTTCATGTGTCTGCTTTTGTTTTTTTTAAGAGGATTCATTTTCTACTTCCAGAACAGAGGAAGACACAGCCCTATTTCTTGATCTACATGACAAAAAACATGGCTGACCTGAAAACACAGATTCTAAGTCCATAGTCTGCACAAGGATATTTTTATTTTGAGTTTCTGTGTTCTCTTGTTGCCAAAAACATCATTCTTTATTATTCTCAACATCATTCTTTATCTATATCACATGAAGGAAATAAATATCTTCCTTTTGGAAGGCCACAAATATATGTCAGCGTAACAATTCAAGCACTCACAGAATTTAATATTATGAATACAAAATGCAGCCATAACACAGATGTGTTTAGTGGAGTAATGATAAACTCACTTAAGCCAAGTTTGACTTTAATGACTGCACAGACACAACCAAATTGTATTATTAGCAAATATATGAGTTGCCATTGCTTTCTTCCCATATCATTCTCCTGCTTCTCAGTATTGCCTACACCCCTGGGATTTCCAGATGGTTGGATCTTGGTTTTTTGACCAACTTACAACTAAGTGTAAGAACTGGGGAGGGGAGCAGGATCCCATTTTAACCATTTTGTGATTGTCCTATTTTTTGCAACCTGTATATGGCAGCCCAAGTATACTGATTTCTCTGTATAATTGAAGCCTGACGTTGTCTGATCTGGAAAGCTAAGCAAAGTCACTCCTGGTTCAGTGGAAGAGGACCTTTTAGGAAGCACAGGGTAGTTGACTACACTGAGAACTCAAACTTAAAGGAAGAAGGCAATAGCAAGTGATAGGAATGTATCTGTGTAAATTATCAAGAGTCAAGCTTGACTCCAATGAGATTTTACTTTACTTTTATGTAACTGAAGCTAATTTATAAACCATTCCCAACTCTATGTGCTTTCCTGGATTACTGAGAGATGGACAAATATCTGAAGAGGCCTCTGTGCAGAAGAGAATTATTCTATTACCTTTGGTTTAACTGGTGAAAGGAAGTCATAAAATAGTGTAGGATCCAATCTGGGTCAGTCTCCGGGACCAGAGGTTGTGTCTTCTGAGCTTTCGGACTTATGCTGGAGCCCATCCTCAGGGAACTTCTCTCTAGTAAGAAGATGGGCTCCAGCACAAGTCCAAAAGCTCAGAAGACACAACATCTGGTCCCGGAGACTGAGCCAGATTGGGTCCTGCAACATTATTTTGGGACATGTTTATTTGCCTTCGTTCATAAAATAGCAGCCAGAGTATTTTTAGTGGGGGTGGGGGGGGAACAAAAATATTTGAAGTATGTGAAAGTTCTTTGAAATGTTGAAGATAAAGTATTTTTTTTTCTCCCTTAAGGGTACCAATTCACAAAATATGGTTGCCGGAGAAAGAATGATCTGAAGATGATCCGTCGCAGTTACTGTGAGTCTATCTCAAAACCCAGGCCCATTCGCAGAATGTGCAATCTCCAGGAATGTTCCCAGCCAACGTAAGTGGGTCTTTCTGAATTTTCACTCCCGTGAAAATATTCACCTCCTAACGCAACATTGCCTTGCTTCAGATGATTTTGTCTTAACATTCTTCCCTTTCTATCGCTTTTTTTTGGGGGGGAATCAGGGCTGTTTGATACTTTTATAAAGTTATCCCTTTAGGAATTACATATGAGGTAATGTGAAATGATGAAATTAGAAAATTAAGATACTTAAGTTTAAAAATCATGTAAATAAGGTTTCCTGATAGCAAAATGAATTTTGAAGGGGATAAGCTTTTTTTAAAGAAAAACATCTTAGTAAAGTTGATAGAATAAGTCCTTATTGAAGATATATACATATCTGAATGTTTGAAGGGGAAGCACATAGAATTTATATAAATTGATTTCAGTTCTTTAAAAATATGTACAGGCTGTTACTGAAAAATATCCCATTTCCTAATCCTAATCTGAACAGCAATAAAAACTTTTTACAGAGTAACTTTTAGAAATGTTAGGTTGTTGAAGAATGGTGGAAAATGAGGATTATCTGCTTATAAAACCTTTAGATTATGATATTTTTCATTTAGATACTTACTTCTGATCATTTTAAACAGATATTTACACTCCATGGTTTGGATTAGCAGGCATTGTAAAGATAGAGGATATGCCTTTGTTTCTCGTCTAACTAGAGTTTAGCTATTTAAAAAAATGCATAAATAGGATTATCACTTTTGGGGTTGAGAATCTCATACACGTCTGCAAGAAAACAAGCAAGCTCAGAAAGCACCAAGGACCCTTTATCTCATACATGCTCATTCGTGATAAATCAGGATTTTGGTTATTTAGCATCATGTCCCAACCAAATTAGTTGATGTGTCTGCAGTAATGTTACAATGCTGTGCATTCCATTACCACTTAACTCACATCATTGGGTTGATGTAGACCTTCCATGTAGTAAAACAAACATACCTAAAAGGAAGGAATATCACAGAGCAGGCTTTATGTATACACATTAATTTGAAAATCCTAAAATCATAGGTGACTTGGGAATAGTGTCCGCTCTATAATTTGTTTGCTTTCACATTCCTTAGTTCACTGTGCCCTAACTGAAAGGGAATTTAGGAATTTCTTGGAAAGAGAAACTATTTAGTTCTGCCCTGGTTTTAAAGAGGAATTTCTCCATGGAGGTTGTTTCTATTTCACTTACTGTAGATTAGAAGGTGTCCCCAGGGGTGGGCTTCAAAAATTTTAGCAAAGGATTCTCTGCCCTTGGCCATGGTGGTCGTGGCCTAGTTGGCCTCCTGCACCATGGTGGGGGGCGTTTTTGCCCTCCCTGGGCTCCAAAGGCTTTTCTCAAGTCTCCGGGAGGGCAAAAACAGCCTCCCCGGGCTCCAGAGGCTCTCTGAAGCCAGAAACTGACCCATTTCCGGCCTTCCTGAACTTCCAGGAGGCCCATTTTTCACCCTCCCTGAGCCTTTGCATGCGCCCTGCATTTACCTGCATCCAAAATGCGCCACGTGGGGACTCCTGGGGGGAAGGGGGCACGCAGGGCATGCCAGCCAGGAGTGGGATTTGAGGGTTCTCCAAACTGCACAGAATTTTAGCTAGGGGCTCTCCCGAACCCCTGCAAACCCCCAGCAGCCTGGTTATCACAGCCTGAGCAAACTGTCCTCTGATGCTATTTGTGAAGCATCTTGACCAATTCATTGCTGGGAAATGGAAATGGTGTTAGATGGAGTATGGCAAAAAAAGAAGAGTCCAGAGTTTGGCAACACCTACGTTTTTAATATTTATAGGATTATCACACACTCTACTGATACTCTTCAATATCTTCATTAACGACTTAGATGAGGGAATAGAAGGGGAACTTACCAAATTTGCAGATGATACTAAGCTGGCAGGAATAGCTAACACCCAAGAAGATAGGCTCAAGATCCAGATGGATCTTGACAGACTAGAACACTGGGCCATATCTAACAAAATGAAATTCAATGTAGAGAAAAATAAAGTCCTACACTTAGGCAAGAAAAACCAAAAGTACACATATAGATTGGGTGAAACCAGGCTCAATAGCAGTAACTGTGAGAGGAATCTTGGAGTCCTAGCGGACAACCAGCTAAATATGAGCCAGCAGTGTGCAGCAGCAGCCAAAAAAGCTAATGCAATCCTAAATTGTATTAACAGAGGGATACAATCAAGATCAAGGGAAATATTAAAACCACTCTATAAAGCCTTAGTAAGACCACACCTAGAGTACTGCATCCAGTTTTGTTTACCACATTATAAAAAAGATGTTGAGACTCTAGAAAAAGTGCAGAGAAGAGCAGCCAGGATGATTAGGGGACTGGAGGCTAAAACATAAAACAAACGCTTGCAGGAACTGGGCTTGGCTAGTCTAGTAAAGAGAAGGACCAGGGGAGACATGATAGCAGTCTTCCAATATTTGAGGGGCTGCCACAGGGAGGAAGAGATCAAGCTATTTTCTAAAGCACCTGAAGGCTAGACAAGGAATAATGGATGGAAACCGAACAAGGAGAGATTTAACCTGGAAACAAGGAGAAACTTTCTGACAGTGAGAACAATCAACCAATGGAACAGCTTGCCCTCGGAAGTTGTGGGAGCGCCATCAGTTGAGACTTTCAAGAAGAGATTGGACTGCCATTTGTCAGAAATGGTGTAGGGTCTCCCGCTTGGGCGGGAGGTTGGACTAGATGACCTACAAGGTCCCTTCCGACTCTGATTATCTGTTAAATCTGTTAAATCACAGGTGCAGAAATAGGTAAACATTGTTCCCAAGAAAAATGGCTCTGTTGCTTTGAAAGATTTACAAGGGAACAACAAACTGTGAAGTTATGGCTTTCATTTCCCTTCGTATGGTACTTAGCTGACTATTGAATTGTTGGCAAAGCGAAAGTAGAAATTTTTATTTCCAAGAATTATGCTGCTTCTGTGCCAGCTTTTGCTAACAACACTTGTTTCAGTAGTGGTTCTCCCTGCTGCTTTCCATGTTAATTGTTTAGAGCAGTGGTCCCCAACCTTTTTTGTAGCAGGGACCAGTTTCAAGCAGAAACACTTTTTCAAGGACCGGCGGGGGGGGGGGATTCTATTTTCCATTCCCAAAACTTTATGTTTACCCTACAACTAGCATTAAAGACACCTGACTGCAGTCTCTCTAGTTCTAGGTCTTGCCCAGCTGTGTAGCTACAAAATTTCATGCAGATGTTTCTCTTATCTCTGTTTGGTGAAAACAGGAATTGAATGAGGAGCATTTAGTCAGTGTGTTTTCCCTAGGAAGCTCCTGTAGTCCTTGTTTAGGGATCATTCAGAGCTACGATGGACCTCTAACATCCAGCCCAGGAAGAAACTGCTTCAAAGAAGCCGGGGGGGGTGGCTTTTCCTGTCGCCGCACCTCCTCCGAAGCGCCCGTTCACCCCCACCCCGCCCACCCGCCCGCGCGCGGTTCAATCCAGTGCTCCATTCTGCCTGCCTGCCTGCCTGCCTTGGTTTCTGGTTGTTTGGGAGCAGCTTCGGCTGAGAATAATAACTATTCGCCTCTTTTTATCAGCCGAAGCTTCTCCGAATCAACCAGAAACGAAGGCAGGCAGGCAGGCAGGCAGGCAGAACGGAGCACTGGATTGAACCGCGG